CTCGACGACCTCACGGACAGGGTGACAAGGCGCCCAAGCGGCGGAAAAGAGGCCTTTGCATTCTCTGAACTGCGAGAGCTGGCGCGGCCTCTGAACGGCGGCCGTTTACCATCCCTAGGCAAAGCGCAGCGCCTCATCAACGAGCAAATGGTAAGGGAGAACCACGAGAATAGGTCTTCGAACCAGACCGATGACGACCGGCTTTGGGCGTTCGAAAAGTACCTACCGCCCGCGTCGAAGGAGAAGAAGTTCTCCCTGGACCGCTGGTCCGGCCACCCGCCAGGTCGCTCGAGAGCTGCTACGCTTAAGCTCGGAGAGGGCAATCTCATGCCGCAGGAGATGATGGATATCGATTGGGACAGGGATCGCGCTAAGCTGGAAGAAAGCTTGGTCGGCTATGACGATGTCGATAGAGGCGAAGCGCAGCTGCTGCTTGCGGAAACGCCGCTTTTGCAGGCGCTCATGAGTGATCAGATTGAGAGAGACCTTGCGCCAAGTACGTGATGCTCATGTACTAGTACAACGTTAGGGCAAGAATCGCTGTGCTGATAGAATGGGTCGCAGGGTCGAAGAAAGGCGAAGGGATAGAGCCGGTGGCGAGGAAGCCTGCTGTGCTGATGACGGAGAAGTTCGCTCTGCCGAGGCCAGCCCAGTTCAGGATCGATGAGGCGGCAGGTCAGTCTGGCCCCGGTGCGTGCACGAAGCGTCGGCGTGTTTCCTAACAAAGCCTGCGGCAGAGATAGCAAAGTCCCTGAACATCCACCCCGACCCGCCCACCCCTTCGCCCCGGACGGCACTCTTTCTCAAACGCAAATTCGAGCAGTGTTCGGATTCCGAGTCCGATGGAGACGAGGGAGAGGAGAGGCGACCTGGAGCCCCCGGTCGGCAGAGGTGACGATGTACAAGGTGAGCGCGTGTGTGTGGACGAGACTGTTTCGTCTTCGGGACCCTTTGTTTGACAGGCCGGTTGGTGGTTATCCGGAGATGTCTGGGGCGCTGCAGGATTTGAAGGGGGATGATGAGTCGCATCTGTGTTCTGGTGACTGAGGACGATGGTGCGGAGGAAGGTTGGGGCAGCACTCTGGCGGTTCTGTTCGTGCTGTTGGTGGCATGTGTTGGTGGGCATTGGAAGTTGCTTCGCATTTGCACGTTGCGTGGAGGGCAAAGGGTCAATTAGGCCCTGGGGTCGATGGGGGTTATGGCACACATGCACTTGTAGGAATGGACCCTATACAACGCAAGACGTTCGTTTGCCGCTGAGATTTGCAACCTAAGTCTTATCAGTAGCTCAGCCAGTCGCGCGAGATATTACTTGGTCTTACGGCCCCCTGGCTTCCACGAGCTGAGCTTTCATTCTCACGATGAGTCCAAACAAGGTCGAGACTTGAACCATTGCATTGACAATTTCAGTGCTTTGCATTTATCCTCGCTACATGCATGCTACAGCAACATAGCGCCTGAGCCAATGACCGATACCATAACCATCTCACCTTCTAGTATCTCTTCCCTTCCCTGAGCACATCACCGAATTCCTCCAATGGGCTCCGGTTGAGCTTGGTTTCCTTCCACAGGTTCGGCGTTAGGAACCCATATGTGTTGCCTACAGCCACGAAGGTAGCCTTGAGGGTGTTTTCAAGGGTTTTCGTAGAGCCGGCGGAGGAAGTGTAGACATCTTGGACACCTGCGAGTTGGAGCAGACGCTTGACAGCTGGAGAGGCGACGAGGCCGGTACCGCGGGGAGCAGGGATGAGCTGGTTACCGATCAGTCCATCGCCCAATTATGGAGAAGATCATGGAACCTACTCGAACGGTAACGGAGCCACACTTGCCGCTCTCCTTCGTAGGCAGGGAATGGGGGTCACCAAGAGATGTACCCCAGTACCCTCTTCGAATCGGCAGGACACTCAGCTTCGCGATGATGATGGCGGCGCGGATAGCGGTGGCTACTTCTTTGGAGGTCTTGATGCCGAGACCGACGTGGCCTTCCGAGTCGCCAATGACAACAATGGCCTTGAATCGGGTACGTTGACCGGCGCGAGTTTGCTTCTGGACGGGCTTGATCTGTACGCCCACCAAACGGCATCGCATCAGCAATCTGCAGTCTCCTCCTTACTACTCCCTTGCACTGCTAAAGTAGAAGGTGGCCTCACCTTCATCACCTCGTCCTTCAACTTGGGCAGAAAGAAGTCCACAATCTGGTACTCCTTGATCGGCAACGAATGTAGATAAATCTCCTCCATGCTCTTGATCTTCCCAGCCTTGACCAAACGTCCCAGCTTCGTCACCGGCTGCCATTCCTTCTCTTCGCTCTTGTTCCCACCTCGGCGAGGCCCACGACGTCCTCCGCGCCCTCGTCCACGGTCTCCGCCTCGGTCGCCTCGAGAGCCGAAGCCTCCACGGGCTCCGCCTGCTGCTGCTCCTCCGCGAGGTGCGTCGGCCATGATTGTGGCGCGTGTGTAAGATAGTAACGTGGAGGTTGAGAGTGGTTGCGGAATGAGTTGTGTGCTGCGGGCAGAAGTTCGCGATTGCTTGAGCTTGGTGGGAAATGACCTGCACTAAGATTGTCTAAGCGAGCTGAAGTCTTGGCGCTCTTGGCGCTCTTGGCCCCCTTAAAAGCCTGCCTTCGCCTGCCAATTAATTGGGCTCATACCACCCCAGGTTCAAGTGTTCCAGTGGAAGTATGGCGGCATCAGACGTGGATGTTGGAAAGGGCTACAATTTGTGACTAGAACTCGTTCTTGTAAATCAAGCGAATGTGAAGCTATTAAGATGCACTAGACTCCAGCACCCCTTCCAGTTTCTCAGGAGACAGCGCGCATGGGAAAGACAGGGAAGAGTCTGCTGGGTCATCTGCACTATCATGGTTTTTCTGTTCTCGTCTCTGGCCCTTCGTAGCCAAATGTCCGCAGTCCTCGAGCATAGATCATCTACCCCTTGATATCACGATCCCATTCACCACTGTAGCCAATTATGAATGCTTTCCCTTTGTGCAACCTTGATAGTCCTGATGCAATGGCTCAAAATGCTGCTCCTGGTCAACGAATCCCGGTCTCCTAGTGTTCGCATGGCTGGAGTCGAGGTAGTACGAGACACGGACCCGCAATGGCCATGCCAGAAGCGGGTAATGACCAGAAGTCAGCGTGTCGTGAGATCTCCAGAGCACGGAGTTCTCCTTCCTGCTTGCCTCTTGACAAGCTATTCGGTGTAGAAGGCAACCCCGATTATCTTTTTCCCAGTGGCCATCACTTCATCTCTTTTGAACCTCCGAAACCCTCTCTCACTCCTCCGCCTTCTCCCTAGCAACCTGCCTTTCCTCCTCTTCCGGCGTCCTCGTCCGCAACTGAAGCGCGTGTATCCCTCCCGCCCTCTCCAGCTCCTCCTTCAGCAGAGCGTACACGATCCGGTGTCTTGCGGGTTGCATCTTCGATTTGAACGCTTCCGAGGTGATGAGCACGCGGAAATGCGTCTCTTTGGATACGCTGCCTTGCATGGCTTGGTGGTGCGCGTGCATGCTGGAGTCGTTGTGGATTTCGAGTGTGGTGGGTTGCAGGGCTGCTGTGATCTGTAGATTGGTCAGCGCTAATGTGAAATGGGAAGAGGGTGTAGGCGTACCTTGAGTCGCATGGCATCTTCGACTGGGGTGGTGGACATGGTTGACATGAGTCGAGAGAGTCCGAATGCGTAACGGCGCAGCATTGGCGCTTACGAGCTTTAGATACCTTGGAAGGGAGATGTATTAGCAGTAGGATGGATGTGAAGAGTTGACCGAGCCTACGCACTTCACAAAGTTAATAACAATTAAGTATAGGACAAGTGCCAAGAGATCTGGAGGATTTTGCATGCCCTAAATTAGCGCCCCTCGATTGTAGAAGTACCTGCAAGGCATGATTTTCCGGGTGTTCTGGTCCTCTGAAGAGTATTCCATTTCTGCCATACCCACGTCCTTTTCTAGCTAATCGTTCTAAGCAGCCGCATCCATGCACAATATACACAAACAGAGGTGTTATGCACTCGTCTCTAAATTCCAACGCCGACTCTATACAGATGCATGAGAAATCGCTCGCTTGCTCCAATAATCCAAATGCACCCCCCCCTCTGCCTTCAGCGTCGTCACAGTGGAAGCGGCGAATAACGATCCACACGCCCATACTCCACACCATTGGGACTGTGCGCGCGGTCCGCGTTGGTAAGCCCTTGGTATCGCCCTTGGGGCATGTATGGCGGTGGTGCACTCGCATTCACGCCTTGGCGAAGAGGTACGTTGTCATGGCTCTGTGGTTGCGGGCTCGAAACCAGATATCGTACCGCGAGCACCAGTCCGCTTGCAATCTCCGTCGGGTTCATAGCCGCCAGTAGAGCTTTGATGCCCAGGAATCCGCCATGGTAGTGAGCCCGGCTTTTGAGAGGTTGTGATTCCATACCCGAGCCGGACGACGCGAGAGTGTAAGGTCGGAAGCTGTAGGCGTAAAAGTTGAAGAGAGAGAAGAACACCATTTCGCCGCAGATGAGGATCGAAGGGATGCCGAAGTAGATGTCGTCGTAGGAGAGTTTGGAGCTGGGTTCCACGGCGCTGGTGGAGGAGAGGATGGTGAAGATGACACTTTGCAGCGTGCTTAGAGCGACGATGCCTTTGATCGCGAGGAGCTTGGGCACGACGTTGTGTTCTTTGAGCTCGGTGCGAAGGCGTTTGTAGAATAGTAATAGCCGGGGGAGAGCGATAAGGACGGAGATGGTGTGGATGATTGTTAACTTTGCACATGTAAGTCAGACGGCTGGACTTGGATTGATGGAGAAAGGAATGCGCACCCAAATATGAGCAAAATGCACACTATTTGCGTTCACACAGTATGTCCCTGTTGCTTGTGTAATGTCTGTTGCGACGGCGACGATGAACGAGATGGGAAGGTATTGGAACACGAAGCACCAGGTCCGCTGATCACAAAATGTTAGCCAATACCCACTGGACTTCACAACTGTGCCGAACGTACACGATACCACTTCAGGCTACCCTCACCGCCCTTCGGTTGCTGCAATCGATCGAAGAACCCTTCCCGCAGTCGCGGATCCGGTACCGTATATACAACTAGCAAAAGGAAGTAGCTCGTAAGAGCAACGGCTTCGTACGCGTCGGCCCATGGCTGGAGATAGATTGCTGCAGAAGGTATAAAGCCAGCGAGAAAGAAGACGAGGGCGAAGGTAGGAACTAAGGCGACGATGCGGAGAATCCTGATGGACCAGGGTCAGCTTGAGATTAGGCCATCTTTTGGCGGTGGGGGGGGGGAGGCCGTACTGGGTCTGTTGGCCGGGATTGCTAAAATGCGTTGCGTGTAGAAAAAGCTGGACGCCGGAGAAGAGGAAGGTTGCCGCGGTAAAGGCGCCACAAAGGATGATGGTTAGTGTGTGGAAGGTGAGAGACCCCACGACAGCGTCGGCGCCTGAAATGGTTGCTGTCAGTATTGGCACTATATTAATGCAATGTTGCTGATGTTGTGCATCTCGTACCGTATTGGGGACCTGTCGGTATCGAGGGACATGTGCTGTCTGAGCTGCTGCTAGAGCTGAATAGTCCCATCGCGAAAGGAGGCTTTGAGAGATGCCTGTGACTGGGCGGTTGAGGTGATCGAGAGGTAGATGAGACGGTTTGCACTCGTCAATTCCCCGGGAAGATGGTGAAGGTCGATGGAATCATCTATATGCAATGGAATGCCCATTCATCATGTGCAGCACGAGCTCGCTATATACCCAAATCATCTTTGGGCACAGCCCCAATTTGTGTTTACAATGGTGCTCATCTCGGAAATTGATGCGACGTTTCGCACCGCAGCCAGTCATTTTTTGGTTTTGGTTGAGCAATGAGATGGATGAACAAAAAGTGGACGAGAAGATAGGCTGCTTAAAAGAGCAGTATCATTGGTGGGTGTTGCCGTTGGGCGGTGTAACAGATCTGAGGCTGAAGAGACGCTTTGCCGTTTCAGGAAGACTTCACGAGATTCTCGGATTGTCCTAAATTCCAACACAGCTCGTATCCATTCCGAGGCCGCTAGCGCCGCTTTATGTGATCAATGAATAGCGATCACTGATCACTGAGTTTACCATGTTTGCATGGCTAGCCTCGATCCGCCACGAAACAGAACGTCCGGCGTGGCTCATCAAAATTTCTCCACTATTTTAATTGCATTGAGCATGCGCCATAGAGTAGTTCACGGCGCAATGTCGCAAATTACGCGTCTTGGCCTGGGAGAAAAGTGATTCGAGCCGACGGCGCTCCAAAAAGTAAATCTCTGTAGCTTTTGCGGAATTTCCTCTGCTTAGGTATGCTATGCGAGGCAGCGGCGAGTATTGAGCAAACTTCATTGCTGGCACCTATGCCATGATATGAATCATTGCCTCATCCGAGAACATGGGCCGGAGTGGACACCGACTCCCTGAACAACCTCTCCCCCTTGGGTGTGATACGGAATCTCATTCAAGCTTCCTCTTCTTTCTCGTTCGGGCTCCTATCTCTTGGCGCGGCATCTCGTGCCATTCCATCTCTTCCCGCAAGGCTTCGTGCACTTACGTCCTGTCGTTTCATGTAGATTTGCCCATCTCAGTATATTCGCGCTCGATTCGTCAACATGGCGCTGACGACCTCAATGGATGGATACCAGGGTTCCAGGGACCTTGTAGTTTTTCAGACTCCCTTCACTGGATGCAGCAGCATGCCAGGAAGGCACAATCTCTCGCTCGGATCATTGCCCTGTGAGATGTCAACACGACGCCTGGAAGAACGATGGTTCCAAGGAAGGACTCACATATCCTAACCATCGCTTATATAATTCGTCCGGATACGTCGTCTTCTCATCAATAGACGCCCAATACGTCATCCGGTGCCACGTCCCATCGTGCATGGGGGGATTGTTCAACACAGTCTTACCCTCATCACCATTGAACGCAGCGTTCATGTTCGCCGGCGATTTGGCAAAATCGAGGTACACTGGCAGTGGGAAGACGACTAGCTTCAAGCCATGGTGTAACGCTGTGGATTCTGGGTACATCTCCGGGGGCATGTAGAAGCCTGAGATCACCTGGCCGTGATGCATGGCTCGTAGCAAGCGCTTTGAGAGGCGGATCATCGATGTGGTGCCTGTCGCACGTCTGGGGGGTGTGGTTGCCTTCGGGGTAGTGTTCGACTTTATCTTTTAACACGAACGAAGTGCCCTCGGGATCAAAGACGGGTGCGAGATTGATCAGATCAGCGTCTTCGCCAACGCCCCATGCGTAGTTGTCATTGTCTGACGACTCCGTGGGTGGTATTGGGCCCACCGGCTCAATCCCTTCGGTTTCCTCTGGACCCCATACCCCTCCGTTCCTTGCAATTTCCCCTTCGTCCAGCGGCTTGATCGCTAGAGAAGTTTGGTTTGCAACGATCGCCATGAAGTTCGTCCAATTGCCATGAACGTGGGGGATGTAGTATCGCGAGGCGCGTTCCCAGAGGTATTTTCTTGGCTGCTGTTTTGCCCAGGTGGATATCGTCTCCAGGTGATGATAGTGGTGGCCGGTATACCGAACATCCGTGTCGATTTGCCAGAAGTGTTCGATCTCAGGTCGCAGGAGGGAGAGAAGTTGCAGTGGCTGGGCCATATGCCCCGACGGCGAGGTTTTGGCCCTAGGGTAAGGTCAGTGTCAAAACCAATGGCAAAGAGACTGGGACTGACTCATGCTGTCCGGCTTTTGGATACCACTTCTCCAGTAATTGTCTGTTGAAGAGGATGGTAATGTTCTTGAATTCATCAGGGACAGCCTTCTTCAACGTTTGCTGATAGGAAGCATGATCGTCGAATATCCGTTTACTGCCATCCTTGATCTCGACCATGATAATCACCTCGTACTCCGCGCCAGAGTGTAGTGACAGCTCCATGATCATCGATCGTATATATTGCATGGTATCAACCGTCCAATCATTGCTCTCCCAGGTGCGAAGGACTACGGCAGTCCTCTGCTTGTAGTTCTGACGCGACTTCCACAGTCGATATGACATGCTCTTTTGCGATTCATCATTCGGCAACACAACAACATTGTCGACGTCGTCAATGTCTTCCTGGCGAGGCATCCACAACGTGGTCGTTCGATTTGCCCATGGCAGAGATTCGTAGCGATGTTGATTCCTCATGAGGCAGTCTCCTTGTAGGTAACCCCAGTCCACGTTGTCCCATTTCACCTTGGAGGCGCGATTAGATTTGCGCCTCCCTCCATTGCCTTCGAGATCTGTGTCATCATATCCATATGGGTCGTAGCGAGCATGACGGTCCAGGCAGAAATCTGATGCCAGTCCAGTAGCGTTGTAGGAGCCAAACATTGAGGCAGGCGCTGTGTCCATTGTCAGCCATCCATCCACCCAACTTCACATTTAGTGCCCACCTTGTCTCTGCAATCGATGTACCACCAGCGTATCATCCGCATTGCCATTCACATCGACCCCTCTTGGCCCCAGACAAGGTTCATGCTTCCCCCGCCAATTTTCCCTCCAAGCACGGCTATTGTATTCAGGGTAGGGATCATAGATATTGGACGGTAGGCCTTTGACAGCGTCTTCGAAGGCGGGGAAGAGTGGTGCCTTTGGGTTTCTGACAATACAGGTCAGTGAGGATTAAGAATGGAGGGTCAGCTCGCTCACAATGAGACAGGCCTAGGTTTGTCGGCGACACTGTCGGTGCATGCTACCGCACCAGGTTCGTAAAGCTTTGCCGGGATGAAGGGCAGTGGCGCTTGCGGGAGGGATTGAAATGATTGTCGCCAGAACCAGAGGGAGAGGAGAAGAGCGAGGCTGAGCAGAAACCAGCGGGTTGTACGTCCGCTGCCTAGGAGAGATGACATGGTTCCTGATGGCGGAGAGGGAAGAAGAGGCGGAGGAGTCGAAGCCATGTTATATTATTATATTATTGTTTTATACGTACGGCGTGGCTGTTACTATGATAATAAGTCACTTATCAATATATCCGCAGAGCATGAAGCCCATAAATCTTGTTCCTGTTCCATTTTTATCATTATTATTGTTGGCTCCAGTGGCTCCTTGCCGGCGCAAAAAACCAAAACAAGTTAGTGCTGAGTAATTTCTGAACGAGCGAGTGTTTGGTGTGTGACTGACTTGTTTCAGCTCAGATAATCGTATCTACCCTCATTCGCGCCATACCCCTATTTGCGCCATCTTAAATCCGATAAACCTGATATAGATAGCTATCACTACCATAGCTACCACTATCACTTATTCAAATAGTCTACTATTATAGTCTATTATAATAATTAATACTACGATACTATAGTCGTCGTCTATAGATTTAATATAGTAGATACTTTATTCTAGACTTAAATATAACTTACTTAAGTCTAATTAAGAAAAAGACTATTATATCTCTTATATTAAACTTATATTACTATTAAATCTCGCTTTATTATAATAATAATAGCGAGATAGAAGAGATAAAAGAGATAAGAAAATAATAGAAGAAGAGATAGAAGAAGAAGAGATAATAGAAGAAGAGATAGTAACGATTTTTTTAAGATATAGTAAGTCGATAAGATTTAAAAAATAATAATTTAGACTCTTTAATATAGAAGCCTTAATAGTAATAATAGATTAATATTATTATACTAGTTTATTATATAAATTTAATAAAAGATAGATATTTTGATATTACGTCGGAATTATCGGATTTAAGATGGCGCAAATAGGGGTATGGGGCTATATACAGCTAGAGCCTAAGGGATATGGCTATAGGTACGGCGGACGAAGGCTGACACTACGACAAAACTAAACCATCAATCTTTATTCTTTGATCACGTGCAGCCCTAAGGTATGCTCTCATCTCAACGCCTCCAATGTCACCAAGTACCCTACCATACCATACCATACCATACCATACCATACCATACCTTATTGCATGGCTACGTTGGCCATGAGCCTTGTATCCAAACTCATTTTGCATCATGCCCGGATGGCTTCCGCTATTAAAGTACGAGGCAAGAACAGAATGAGAAGGTCCTCCGACCACCAACCACCCCTCGACCGAGACTTTCCACAATCACACATGGAGAATTCGAGACGAGTCTCGCTAAGACTCACACCAAAGCCACGCGAGCGGTGTCGATGGGCAATGTCATCAATTCCACGGTAATGTGTGCTTGGCTGGAGGTTCGAGAGGAGATTCCGACATTGTCAATGCTGCAGCGGGTACTCGTACACTGCAGCATCAGGACTGTGAAGCTGCAAGAAAGGCAAAGTAAGTCTAGGACAAAATCCGCGCTGGCGGCGGTAAGGGTTTGGCGGTGTGCCCTTTTGGTCCTGCTGCGTACTCTCGGAGTTGGCAGGCCGGTAATGCAATACGGAGTAAATAGGCGAGATCATCTTATCAGGGTGCCTTCAATGTCATAACAGCACTGCACATGTGTTCGTGAGCCTGCACGGGAGTTGGCAAGTCATTTCGCTTTTACGCAAGTCCTCGACATTCGGCAGGAATCGAACAAGGGAAATGCGCTAGACCCATCAGTTTAATTGACCGAGAATGAAAATTTTACTCCGAGTCAAATGCAAAATCTGCCCTTCCTGATACCAAGTCTGACACAAATCTGGATTTCAATCCTTCTACGAAATAAAGGTGAATGAAGGAAAATGTTGACAAATAAATGAAGAATTCCATGAGTCTTAAAAGTTCGATAACGCAGCTGGCATTTACCTGTTTACTGAACACTGCCTGCATCGCTCAATGCTATCGATATACTTCTCACCGCACACGATACAGACAAACAAATGCGGGAACGCTTTTCTCGTTGATTAGGTAGAAGTTGCTTCTAAAGACGACAGTGGCTTAGAAACGTCCTCTGAATCTGAGCCCAGCTTGCCGTGCCAGACGCTCATGCTATGGCTCGTACATTGCTGTTGAAGATCGAGGTTAGACAAGCTCCTAGATCTTTCTTCTCCATCTTCAGATATTCACCTGCACAAAGATCTCTGCTGAGCATCGCCTCTCTTCAGCCGAAAGCCGAAGCAGTCAATGCGGCACATTGACAGCCATATGAGATCCTCACGCCCCCCTTTTCATAAAATATAACGGTGTCATCCTGTTCAAGAAAAACTCCTACTACTCTTCACTTTCACAACTCGCGGCATTCCACAAATACCACCCAAGATACCCTATCGCCACATCCACCCCGTCGCCCGCACAGTCATTAAAATCGTAGTCGGGTTGAAAGTAGCCACCTGTGTTGCACCATGGCTCAACAAATTCCCAAGTATCATTCGCCAGGTTCCACGTGCAAACGGCCAGGTTGCTCAAACAGGCCGTGTCCTGGCCCACGAGCCCGCTGGCGGCATTCTGAAAGGGCGAGGCGTCGGCCGTGGCGTTGTAGCCGTCCTGGCATGCTTGCGAGCCGAGGAACAGGAGCTCAGGCGTCGTGAGGTTGTTGTTGAAAACGGTGGTCAGGTCGGAGGAGTAGTTGTTCCAGATGTCGTTCGCGGAGGAGAGCGCGTAGGCGACGTTGTTCGTCGAGTCCCACCAGAAGGCGCCGCATTGGTTCCAGTCGTTGTACCCGTACTCGCAGCCTATGATGCTCGGCTTCGACAAAGTGTTGGCGCTCGCGTTGTGTTGGAGGTCGTACGGGTTCGTGTCGACTTGCCGCGTGATGAAGACGTTGTCGTTTTGCAGGATTTGCGACAGGACGTACGTGTTGAGACCCCATTTGATGTAGCTCACCATGTCTTGCTCCGTCATGAGCGGCTCAACGAAATAGTAGCCTCCGGCTGTCCACTCGGCGAAGGCGGTGACGTTGTCCGGTACATCGACCGCCACGTCTTCAATTATCTGCGACAGCGCTTGGGCGAAATTCGCCAGTTGCGCCGTCAGTCCGGCCGAGGTCATGATGGCGGCGTTGATGGTTCCGGACTCCGCCGGCACCAGGATCGTGTGAATAATACCTGGCGTTTGCTGGCCCGCGCGCAGGAGGTACTCGCCAGGTACCTCGGGGGTAAACATCTTGGACAGAATCCAGGCGCTCATTCGCGCGGATTCTGCAGCTGCGTTCGCTCCCTCTTCAACCACGTTATTCACGGCGACGGCCCCTCCTTCTCCGGGTAAGGTCTTGCCCCAGCCGCTGGGGCTGATGACGCCGAGGGCGAACGTCAAGACGCCGAGCAGAATCTCCTCTCCGAGTGGGAAGGAGCCTTTGATTTGCTCGAAGGCGAGTGTGTCGTTCCAGATCATGGCCGTCGTGTAGCTGTACGCGTACTGCATGGCGGTGTAGTAGGCGAAGGACCAGGTGGCGTAGTTGTAAATGTTCCAGGCGACGTAGAAGTCGAGGGTCTGGTTCGCCCCGGAGAAGTAGGTGATGTTCGGCTCCGCGCAGTACCAGTTCGAGGATAGGTCGGAGCAGTTCGAGTTGCCGTCCCAGGTCAGGTCGTAGAAACAGTTGGCGAAGCCGACGTTCAGGTCGTTGGTGCAATGATCGCTGTTCTCGCCCCACCACCACAGCATGTGCGAGGTGATATTGAAGTATTCGATGCAGCTGTCGCCGTTGGCGGCACCGTTGACTCCCGGGTAGCCGGCGCGGGCGGTGAAGGTACTGCAGTTGGAGATTTCTTCCTGGACGTAGGTCGAGTTCGCCTGGTTGATGATTGATTGGATGTTGAGATCGGTCGTCGTGCTGCATTTCGCCGGACCGTCGAATTCACAGTCTGAGAGTTTGGGAGCTATCGTTGTTTGCGGTGTAGATCCAGACGCGTACGGGCAGGGGTTGAATAGCGAAGCGGGCGTTGACCCTTGCGTTTGAACTGTGTATGTCTTTCCGTCCGAACAGGTGCAGAAGGCTCCTTCGCTGTAATCGGGATCCGCGCTACGAATGAGAACTGTTATTTGTATGCTGCTTGTGATAAAAACTCTTGGGGAGAACTTACTTGGCTAGGCAGTAAGGACCTGCGGCAAGTGCAGTACTTGCGAGGAAGGCGGCGGTAGGGGATGCCTGTGCACCGGGCTGCGATGACTGTCATTCAATGAGCAAATGACTCTAATCAAAACAGATAGAAAGAAACAATTACAACTTACAGTTCTTGCAGCAGTCGGTGGTGGGCTCGCCAGAGGCGAGATGGTAATTTTCGTAGATGAGAAAGATGTACTAGAACTAGTAGAAGGATTTGGACTCGGTAAAGGGGGAGATTCCGTACTCGCGGCCGAGAGAGATGTCGCGGTTTTTGTCCTTCCATTATAGGATATCTGTAAATGCTCAGAATACTGTACCCCTCAACGCGGATAACGCTTTACTCACTGTATGTGAATTAGTCCCAAGAATCTGGAAAAGTGCAGTCGTGTGGGTTGTATTCTGTAGGGCTGGAATGCCAGTGATGCTGGCGAATGGCTGGCTAATCCAACTCGGCTCGCAGTAAGCTTGAATGATGGCGCCGTTCGAGGCTGTCAAGACGCAAGGAGTGATGGTTTCTTCGCAGTATGCTTGCACGATGCCTCCGTCTGATGCGGTTAGGACGCAAGGAGTGAGAGCTTCTAAACAAAGGGATTGAGATGTGGTAATTGAATGAGAGAATGAGAGAAGTATGAGGATGTAAAAGAGTGTGGGCATGTTCTCGGTGAACACTAAGCGTTTGAAAGGTCAAGGCATGTCTTTGGAAGTGGAGATCGACGTCTAAGAATATATTAAACGGCGAGGCAGACCTTGCTGTTAAGGGCTCAAGACGAAATCATCGCCAACAAGAAAGAAAGAAGATCCTTCGACGATGCCACCGAGAGATTTGAACACATGTCGACATGTTACGTACTCAACTTACGTTTGGGAGTAGTCTACTCCACCAACGATCTCTTGCCCTACGGAACGCGTGGAACTGAGGAACGGAGACTGAGAGAAAGAAAAACAGTGTTTCATTACACATGGGGATACACACGTGGGCAGAAGGAACCAATACTATTTGTTCATAGATTTAAAATTGTTTAAGCTTGAGTCGCCGACGTGTTATTCAGTAGTTAGTGGAAGGTTTCGGTCATGGCTGACGCAAGAAAAGTCTGTTTCATGGTAAATTTGAGCCTGTTGAGGAAAAGCAGTCGATGAAAAGTCGATCAGGCAAAGGGATGAGGGAAAAATAGATTTAGACTTCACGAGGTGATCGTGTTGGAGACTCGAGAACAAACAAGCGCTAAGCGGCCCGCCCGGCTAAACGCAAGGCACATCCATGTCTCTGCCCCCAATTCTGGCCTGTTCCGGGGGGCGTGTGAGGCAGGTCCTCGCCCGTGCCAACCAGATCCTCGGGGTTAATTAGAGCATAGAATCCTCCGCTGTTTCAGTGTTGATTAGTTCCTCACAGACCAAAAACACGTGGTAGATGCTCCTTTGATGATTAGATATATAGGACGGAGCATCGCTCTTCTGTTCAGCGTCACTCGTTTCATGAAGATCACCTACTCGTATCTTGGATTAAATCATATTGGGGGACGCTAAATCCTGTTTGCCGACCTTTCTTCGGCTGGCGACCAATCATTGAGACTAGAACATGGCGAGCGTCGGTGCCAAACTGACACCCCTTTCGCTGGGAAAGGCAGATCACGTATGAAGATGCGCAGTTACGTTAGAGGACCTATGATACCTAGGTACGGCTCCGATATCAGGCGGAAGGCTCGGAGAAGGGTATTGGTTTCGCCAGTCGCTCGTGCTGTTCAAAGCCAGAGAAGCCGCGTCTGGTGTGGCTCTGGGACAGTCCCTAGGAATTGACACCTCACAGATCTGAGGTCAGTTTCTGGAATACACCACCGACGATATTCTCAATTGAGTCTCCTCCCAGGACCTTGCCAGCGGACACATCGACTCCAAGCTCTGTACCTTGCTGTCAGCCATAGAGCTTCGACCCGTTTCATGATGCCTGCGTACCTTTGTGGAACCAGTACTGGCACGACACCCCACTCAGACTATCAATCCCATACATCATCAAAGCCTGTGACGGATCAAAGGCGTCTACGCCGAAGCCTAGTAATTGCGATAAGAAGGTCAAGAAGGCGTTTCGTACGGCACCCCTTATTTGTTCCGTATCCCCTTTGTGGCGCATGTCGGCGACTTGATCCTTGAGCGGGGCTTGACTACCTTTAGTCCCGTCTACAACTGTTGAGAGCTTGTACTGCTGCAAGTGCCCAAATTCAGGCCAATCGGTCCAGAATAGAGGGTCGGTACGACCGGCAAGGCTTCCATCTGCTTCACGCTCAAACATACTCAACCCAGTGAGTACCAGAGAGCGATCCCTGCGTGGGGATTCGAGTATTGCGGCCTCCATGATCTTAGCGAGATGATACTTTGTAAGGTAAGTTAGCCCACTGCGGCTCAGGATCTGCAGCATGTCTGGTTTGGAAAGGCTGTACAGGACGCCCATGTCGGCTAGAACGAAAAGGTCAGTTGTATCAGCGTGACTGTCAGAAACTCCGGTCGCGATGAGTTGCAGAACAAAATACGTTGGGGGACTTACTCACAGCCCCCAAAGCCACAGAGATCCCAGGAAGATCCAACGACTGCCGGTATTCCGCCAATGCATTCAAGAATGTATTAGCTACGTTGTAGTTGCCCTGACTCCTATTACCAAGCACACTCGCGATGGATGAGAACAAGATGAAGAATTCCAACGGATCCTGCAATGTCTCTTCATGCAAAATCCAGCTAGAGTCAATCTTAACACGCAGGCCGCGATCCCACTCCTCGGCAGTCATGGAAGCCATTGGTGCGTCTCCAAGAACCATGGCCAGGTTAATGACGCCTTTGATGGGGCATTTGCTACGCAATTGGGAGAAAATCTTGGAGATCGCTTTGCGATCACAGGCATCTGCTTTGACGCATTGAATGAATGCACCAGAGGCATTCATAGCAGATACGGCATTTCTTGCTTCCAGAGTGTCTGCCCCGCTCCTCGATATGGTTGTTATGTGCTTGGCTCCGTTTTCGATCATCCATGAGCAGATAAAGCGGCCAAGGCCCCCTAGTCCGCCAATCACTATATAGTTAGCATGATCCATGAACATGTGCGCCGCTTCCCTGTACATAGGTACATGCTTTACGATTTTTGCTGTGTTGCGATGGAGGAGGACGGTGGAATACGGGTGCTTTGCGTTGTTAAATGCCTCTTTGTAGTCTGCAACTTCGTACTCATCAATTTGCAACGGTAGGTTGGCCAACTCTTGCCAACTTCGCTGTACCATTGCTCTGCCATGACCTGACTGCAGGTAGCTGGCGACCTCGATTGGCCTGTCGTTGACGCGGATACCTTCGGGGCATTTGAAAGTGACAACAAAATCGGCTTTCGACCGGGTGCATGAACTTGGCACAAGTGCTCCCAAACGCCTGCAAATTTGCTCGACGGCGTTCAGGAGCGACCCTTGGACGTTGATTTGGAAGGTCTCGCCTTGACGAGCTCTTGCAGCCCCATCGACAATACAGCACGCAACTGCTATGGCTGAATACCTTGAGGCAGCATGTGATGGCTGCGTTGAGCTTGGATACCGGCAGACATCGTAAGATTGAACGCTTAATTTCTTACGATGGGTATGATCGTGGTGCCAGCCAACTACGCGAGATCCAGGTGGAAACTCTGAATCTTGGCTGTTGAGTACCCTTCCAGCGAAGAAGAATCCAGGCCGAGACCGAGGGACTTGAATGTTAGTTCTACCGCTGAACATGTGTAGATCATCAATGCCTACTGCCGATGCTTCAACAAGCACCTCGATGGTATCGCCGCTCAATGACTGCATAGCGCTATCTTTATAAGACAGGATGACGGTCTCCCCGGGTACTGCAAAATCAAGCGAGTAATCCGCCTCGCCTAATGGGCTTCGCACTTGTCGAGGGAGGCTCAGACCAGTATCGACTGAGAGATCATCATCAGGTAAGTACCGCAAGATCTCTAGTCCCAATCCTCCAGTCTTCGTCACAAGCTCATTTTCACCTTCGATCATACGCACAAACGCTTGTTCGACCTGCGATGCAAAAGTGTCTAGATTCTTGTTTATCATCTCATCTGTTAGGAGCCATGAGATCTTGAGAGAAGGCTGCTCTGATTGCAGCGTGCGTAGTAGACTGCCCGCAACCTTGGCATACGGGCTTTCATGGCTGTTTCGTGTGACCCAAAGGATGCTATCAGCGGACTTCAGTAGAGTTTGCACCCACGGCATGAGTACGCTCCCGGTCCATGTGGTAATGGCTGACTTTCCCAGAAAGTCAATAACTATGGCATCGAATCTCGCAAAGCTGTTTCGCTTGCAAAAATGCCTCACTGGCGCAGGTTCGAGCGGAATAGACTCCAATTTCCCGAGAGCATTGCGAAAGGGCAGTCCACCCTGATTGGTGAACAACACGGCTCTTCGACCGGCGGACACCGCATCCGGATCAGTGATTTTACGGAGAAGCGCCCATGAGTCTGAGCCCAAGCCACTAATATCGCAGACAAACTCAAATGATGTATTGGTTTTGCATTCTAAAACCTCGAGATGGGCTTTTGGAATGCACAAAAAGCCTCCAGAAAGCAAATGTTCACTCAGCAGCCCTGCTGGAGGGTTGTTATGTGTGATGACCATGTGATATTTGCTGGTCATGTCAGAGCCATCAACCAGCTGTATGCGATCTGAGACAACACCTGGTGGAATTGAGGAGCATTCTATGGATCGAAAGTAAGATCTTGCTTGGCCACCAGCCGCACCAAAGGCTTTCAGGATAGATAAGGTACAGCGCTCAGGGACGCCATTAATCTTGATGTCGCACATGGGCCACTTGTAGGTCAAAAGTTCGGCACATCGTGAGATACTCATGGGTGCCGCTACCGATAGCCTTGTAACATCGGGAAGCAGGACTGGCTTGAAGAACAACGAGTTCAGCGCTGGCTTCTGGTGAATCAACTTCGTAGCTTGGTGATTTAAGCCTTTTAACGAGATGATTCTGTCGCATTGGCTGATCTGAATATCGCTCTCTACGTTGTAGAACTCTGAGGGCTTGATACGAGTAGTAAAGCGCCCGTAGTCCGACCCAAGCCGAAGGATCGACACCGTGATTGAAGCGACCGAAGATAGGCGGTGCTCAGCTGGAAGATTCTGGCCCATCAACGACACTGGAGGTAATTCCAGGATAGAATTCAAAATTGAGGGATGGACAGCGTAGGTCTCCATATCGTCTGTACCGCGTTCGAACTCTCCAGATGAGCCTTCCAGGCTCAGCTTGAGGCTGCTTACACCCACTCCCACACTAAGCTTCAGTGTTCGCGCCTTGTCTAACAATGATTGGTCATGAAGGAGCTTTGGGAGATTGAGGACAGGCGACTCTGCAATCGCTTGCGTCTCGAAATTGCCATAGCAATGCCTGGTCCATGAGCCTTCGTCTGCTGAAGGCTGAGAGAAGATCTCGAATGCAATGTTGTCGGTGCCGTCCGTTTTCCTAGCAATCAGTTGGATTTCCAGACCAGAATGAGCAACAGAAAAGGTAGAGAGTAGTAAAGGTTGCTCGAAATGGACGTTGGACACGCAAAGTGAGTAAGCATCAGAGCTTTTATTGCCGGAGAGCTGACGAGCAGCCTCCAAAGCCATAAGAAGGTACGCGGCGGCGGGTATCTCGGTAAGTCCTTCAGCCTATAAGAGTAATCAGCAAACAAGCATCAAATCGGGACCAACCTACACACCATGAGCTCTTGAAGCCATATAATCTCCTTCAGCATAAGCCGATTCCGCCAACTTGGTCGGTTCGGAATGTCATCTACGTATCGAGAACCGAGCAATTGATGTCGTGGGAACGTTCGAAACCGTACATTGCGACTGACCCTCGATTCTGCCCAGAAACTTTGTGAATGGTTCCACTGGTAGCTTGGAAGATCAGTCAGGACGTTGCCTGGCTCATGGCAACATCGGAGACCATCGACTGTTGCTCGAGCATTGATGTTGGAGGTCTGGAGGGAAAGACCAATTCCAATCATTACTCCAGCGCTAGAAAGGAGAGATTCAAGAGCATTCTGTGCGCGTAAGCAAGTGGGCAAATAGCCTACATGGGGTTTGCCCAAGGCATGGAGGATCTCTTGCGCTGGTCCCTTCAATGCCGAGTGAGGCCCAATCTCAATAATCGCAGCTGCGTCTGGGTGACCGTTCATGCACTCTTCCAATGCTGCCTGGAATGTGACTGTTGATATCATGTTCTGCTTCCAGTAAGATGGTGTGTATTCTGAGGCATCCATTCTGCGACCATAGACAGAGGAGTACATGGCACATTTTGCGTTGTCACGTAGAGGTGTTATCTTAGCCTGCACGAGCTTATTTTCATATTTCGGGGCCAATGGGAACATATGATGCGAGTGGTAGGCTAGTGAAAACGTCAGCATAGACAGAAGTGCAGAGAAACCAGCTCATACCTTGATCAACCTTCAGCTCCCGACAAAATTGCTTTTCCTCGATAAGCTGCTTCACTATTTCCTTGATGGCAGCAGCGTCACCTGAAAGCGTACAACTATTTGGCGAGTTGATTGCTGCAATCTGAACATTGCCGCCCAAATCTTCGATCAGAGCCTTTGCGCTGTCTTCGTTCAGCCCAACAGCGCACATGGAGCCTTCAGGCTTCTGGGCTGGGTGCCAGCCCAGTACGAGACCGCGATAGTAGGAGATTGCCATCGCATCTCGCAACGAAAGTATACCGGCAGCATACGCTGCACAGATCTCCCCAGAAGAATGCCCCACCACCGCATCTGGAGCCACACCCCAAGATTCTAGCACTGCCACCAGGCCCAGCTGAAGCGCGGTGCAGAGCGGCTGAGAAAATTCTGCCTTGTAGACATTCGAGGTTTCCTTGGCCTTGGAGAGTTCTTCTATGATTGTCCAAGCCGGAGGATCAGGTAGCTCTGATAGTAAGCGGTCACATTCACGTAGCATGGATCCGAAGAGGGGGCAATCGTCCATTAAGGACATCCCCATCTGTGCCCATTGAGCCCCTTGACCCGTAAACAGGAAAACGAGCCCTTTGTTAGCTTCTTTCGGCTTCGCATGAACACTGTGGCCATCTGCACACAAAGCCGCAACCACTTCTTTATGACTGCTTGCTGTGAAGAAAACCGATTTTCTAAGCGTCGACCTGCGATCAAGCATGGTGTGTGCAAGGTCACGAAGTACTGGCTTAGAAGCCTTCACGTACTCTGCAAATCTCAATGAAATCTGCTTGAGAGACATATCATCCGCGGCGGAGACTTTGAACAAGTATGGTTTCTTCTCGGAGGTGGGTGACTGAGATAGCCATCCTGTGTATGCCTCTAGAACAGCATGGCCATTTGTGCCCCCCTGCTCCGAATGTGTTGACAGCTGCTCTCCGACTGCCATCGTTCGATGTTGGCCAAGAGGTCATTTGGTTTGGTATTGTGACGTTCTGAAAATCGATATTCGGATTGGGGACTCTGAAGTTCATCTGAGGCGGTATTTGGGCTCTTTCAAGACACTGAGCGACTTTCATAACGGACCCAAGCGCCGAGCATGCTTCGAGGTGCCCTATATTGCTCTTGACCGAGCCCACCACCAGAGGATCAACGGCTCCGCGAGATTGTCCAAATACTGAGTTGATGGCCGAGAATTCCAGGGGGTCGCCCGCTACTGTTCCAGTGCCCTACAACACGTGAGATGTAACAGTAGGCCATAGATCGAGATTGACTTACATGAGCCTCTAAGTATTGAATATCGGCTGGAGAGATGCTTAATTCCTTATAGAGGGCTTGCATGTTACATTTCTGAGCGTCAGCTGATGGCAATGTAATTCCTTGTGTCTTGCCATCTTGATTCAATCGGGTCCCCTTGATGACAGCGCGGATGGGGTCTCGGTCTGCCAGCGCCTTTTTCAAGGGTTTCAAGAGAAGCGCTATGACTCCCTCTCCTCGACCATAGCCATCGGCTGCAGCGTCAAAAGTATGACATCTGCCAGTTGGGCTAAGAAAGCCTAGCTCTGAGGAAGGCATGAACATATCTGGGCTGAGGATGAGCTTGGCGCCGCAAACGACGGCCATTTTCGAATCGCCATGCTGCAAGGTACGCACGGCTTGGTGTAATGCTGCCATAGCAGATGAACATGCCGTGTCAACGGACATACTAGGACCAGATAGATCGAAGAAGTAGCTGATTCGATTGGCTGCCATGCAGATTGGGGTGCCAGTAGCAAGGTATCGAGGAGTGGCATCGAGATCGCGGGCGGCGATCGTATGGTATTCGCAGCCTTCCATTCCTGATGCAGGCTGTTAGCGTCTTCTTGTGTTGTCCGTGGCTCGTATACACACCTGCGAAGACTGCTGTGTCCGTTCCAGCAAAATCATCCAGAGGTATTCCAGCATTCTCGATAGCTTCGTAGGCAATTTCCAGAAGCATGCGTTGTTGAGGGTCCATCGCGACGGCTTCCAATGGGGTAATGTAGAAGAAAGCGTTGTCAAATTTGTCGATGATGTTATCGTCAAGCATGTAGGCTTTGTTGACGTTGGTGAGGCCTTTGCGTGGACCGCCGTCCGGATGATAGAAGCCTTCACTGTTGAAGCGAGTGATCTTGCTTTGGACATCTCTTGAGGAGGCCAGAAGATCCCACAAGTCAGATGGAGAATTGGCACCAGCTACACGACATGACATGCCAATGATGGCAATGTCTTTTTCATTTTCACGAGACATGGTTCGTAGTTGATCGTAGTTGGTCGTAGCTGTGTTCAAAGTTGGATATTCATGAGGTGAAGAAATCCGAGAGGAGGAGATAATGTGCTTCCCTTGAAAGAAGGCAGTGGCTAGCGGGCTTATTATGACTTATCAATAACCATCAAGGTGGTTGATCAAGTTTCGTTCCAAGCCTTGCATAGGCATTGCGAAGATTCTGTTGGCTTGTGCGTGAGGTCTCGCGACAATAACTCAGGTTGAGGCCAAGGCCAATCCGGCCTCGCCGACGTCTGTCCCGAGAGTGGAATCTCGCAAAAGCCATCACGTCATGTTGTTGTGTTGTGAAGGCGGGTGCGGGAAGATTAGGAAGGTACTGTTGTAGTCTAGCATTTGACAGGCTGAGAGACGGCCCGTGTTAATGTCCGGTGGGCACTAACATCTATTCGCTCGGCCAATCAACCACTGATTTCGAAAGTGGCAATTATCTTGCAGATAACGACCTCTTGCTGCGCGATAATGTGGTTACTGAAGGCCATCAGGTTAGTACCCCTCCGAATTGTAAGTCTTATCGGCAGACCAAACAAGGTCGGGTTGGAGCATCCCTACTATTAATCGCTAAGCGAGAATTTCGATTTGAATATTACGTGAATATTAATTAATTTAAATTTAACGAGTTAAAAATTTCGATTAAAACTATAAAAATCTTATCTAATTATATTCTCTTAGATTTCTTTTTAAGTTTTTTAAAATAGATTATCTATAAAAATTAAATTTTAGAGATTATAAATTCTAGTAAATATAAGTAATAATAAAATAAATAGTTATAAATAATAAGATTATATATAAATAATATATATATAAATAATTTAAAAAGAATTCTTAGCGTTAAAAAAACTCTTATATTTAAATAATATATCTTATAATAAAAAATAAAGTTATATATAAATATAAATAATAATAATAATAATAATAATAATAATAATAATAATTTTAAAAGAGAGTAATTTAAATAAAGAATTAATTAATTATTAATATAGTTGTTAGGAAATAAATCGTGTATCGAATAATGATATTAGTGGTGTCATATGAATGGAATATTAACTATGAAGGTTGCTAAGTAATATGTGTGCCGAAGTCATCAGAGTGCCAAGGAGCCCTGAATGAAGCCTAGCGCAAGTCTGGAGAAGGAATGTCCGAGGGTCGGTGACAAAGTCGTTGCACACCGATCCCCGCTAAGCCCTACCAAAGTGTGCAACGACTTTTGTCACCAACCCTCGGTCGGTTGAAACCATGACATTACCCCCCTCAAATGGCCATGTCCCTATGGTCTAAATCATGGCGACGGCGAGGTGGTAACAGCGAGACGATCGTCATGATCCATGGTGCACTGGCCTTTATGGCCTGAAGATATTTGCTACCCCCTGAAATAACAACTTTGAACTTTTTCTCGCAGACACTCTTAGTGTCTGACCGTGGCATTGAGCTAAATCTCGTGTAGCAGGCCTGCGGACGTAGGTAATAGGGGTATCAATGTGGGGTAATAGCCCGGGAAGGTGCTTGAAGTAATGGTGTGGGGTGCTGAGAGGTGGTGTGGTGGATTCGCTTGGCGTATTGCCGAAAAAGCGAAAAAATCGAAATCGAATGAGGCCAATTCGTTCAAAAACGCAAAGTCCGATGATTTGCCGAATCGAAACTGATTTGAATGCGCTAGCCGCATGCGGCTAGGCGGAACGGTTGTTGCTGGTCAGGGGAAGGAGGAGAAATCCATTGCTGCTGCTGCAGGCAAGGCCTATGCCGTTATTGCTTCTCCATAGCCTTCTCCTAGCCTTTCCTTGGCCACAATAGCCTTTGCCTCTTCAAACGACAATGCCTTTGAGGTCATGCATGCCTTAGTCTGATTGGGCTGGTGGCTATAGCTAAGGCATTTGAAACATCGGCCTTCTTTCTTTAGCTGTCCTTCAGCTGTTCCGAATAGGGTATGCCTGATTTGAACTCCTGTTTATTAATCTCTTCCACATTCTATATATAGCCTCCAATTAACGGAGGTCTTAGTTAGTCTTCCGCAAATGCTTAATAACTAAGCGGAAGGAAGACGATAAGATACCGGCGATTCGTACGGAGCTTAAGAGTAATAAGTCTTCGTAGTGCAGCGATCTTATGATTTTCGCTATAGTCTAATAGCGTAATGATAGCTGAAAATCGAGTATAGAACTCGTCAAATACCTTCTTCTTTTTATAGCAAACGCCGGGTTATAGGTGGGCGTTATTCTTTCCAGCTTATCGTAATTACTAAACATACTATAAAGCTCTAAAATCATCTCTTTCGTAGTGTTATAAAGATCCTCGCTCAGTGAATCTACTCTGTCTTAAGCCATCGAATATAATTAACTTACAGTAGTCCCGAATGTAATCTATTTTTTTTTCACTGAGAAATAATACGGCACTTTACCGAAACTTGGAGTTTAGGTGGAATCGCCACTGTCCTACTTCTTTTTCACCATAGAAGTAGGGCACATTGGGTATTTCTTATTATTCCCGATAACAAGGACAGTAGAGATAGTGTTCCAGTCTTGGTAACTTCCAATTTGATTAGTTATTCATTTATATCGGAATCTAGGGCTCTACTGAAGTAACCGTTTCTTCTTTAATAGTTAAGGCCTGAATTTTGCCTACAATTCCGTGTTCGTAGCAGTGAGAGTCTTTACATTGAAACGATGAAGGTCCCGTAACTCTCGAAGTCGTGTTACGGTTGTGTTGAGATTCTGAATAGTAGTGTTGAGGCCACGAATCTGGGCCTAGTAATGCTGAATCGTCAATGATTCAGGATGGGTTTCTTCTTGATCCGAGTCCATAACGGATCAGGTGGAGAACTCTCCACTGATGCAGGCAGGTAACAGGTAAGGCAAGCGAGAGATAGTCGAAATATCTCCCCGCAGAGGCAGGGTAGGCAGGCAGGCGGGAATCGTCCGAATATATCTCCTCCCAACAAGGCGATTGAGTAGTCGATATTCGAGAGATCCCCGCAGAGGCAGGGCGGCGGCAGGCGGCAGGTAGGCAGGCGGGAATCGTCCGGATATCTCCTCCACAACAAGGCGATTGAGTAGTCGATATTCGAGAGATCCCCGCAGGGCAGGGCAGGCAGGCAGGCAGGCAGGCGGGCAGGCAGGCAGGCAGGCAGGTAGGCAGGCGGGAATCGTCCGGATATCTCCTCCACAACAAGGCGATTGAGTAGTCGATATTCGAGAGATCTCCGCAGGGCAGGGCAGGCAGGCAGGCAGGAGCAGGCAGGCAACAATAGCTTAGCTCACGGCTATATTGAATAGTTAATATTATGTCAGGGAATAAACCGTGTATCGAATAATGATATTAGTGGTGTCATATGAATGGAATATTAACTATGAAGGTTGCTAATAACATGTGTGCCGAAGTCATCAGAGTGCCAGCCGCCAAGGAGCTAGCCCGAATGAAGCCTAGCGCAAGTCTGAGAAGGAATGCCGGTTGAAACCATGACAATAGTAATTATATAAATAATACTCGCTAAAATTATTTATCTTTCTTTTATTATATTAGTACGAGTAAAGATCTATAAATTAAATTTATAAATTTTTTTTTAATTAGAGCTATCGAGTAAATAGATAAGCGATCTTTAATAAGCGAACTTTGATAAGCGGGCTATCCGACTGTCGAGCGAACTTTAATAAGCGATATTTAAACTCCTTGATTATTATTAACTATAGAATCAAATTTTAAAATTCTTAAAAATTTGAAAAGCATAAACGACGCTCTATAATTTATAAAAAAAACTCAAAATTTTAATAGAAAATAAAAAAGTTATTCTATTCGTAAATAACGTATATCTATTTTTAATAAGGGAGACGCGAGAGGGCGAGATTTTGATGGTTACGGATACTAATTTATTTACTCGCGATAACTTAGTCGATCTAATCAAAGAGCGTAGTAACTCTGAATTTATGATTGACTGCATATATAAATTCAAGGTTTTCAAGCTTAGCCCTATCTTATTCTTTTATATATACTAATTAAATATTAAATAACCTTATCTAATTAAATATCGTTTAGGATATTTAATAGCCTAGTGTATAGCACCTATCTGACGACATTGTTTCTGCGTTGATCTGTCATATCAACTTGATTCATTGGGATACTGGCGCCATGCAATCCCTCTCTACGACCTTGATCTGCTCCCAATTCAAGACTCTCCTTCAATCACACTTATACAAGCTTGATAGACAACAATACCACTGCTTCTTCGAGAGGAGCAAGGACTATCTGGGCGACCGAAAGGCGTAGTATAAGCGGCGCAGAGAGAAGGGTTGCGAGTAGAACAATTATTATCGGTAGACACTGGAGTTGAAGATCGATTGACTACAAGCTGCAAGGATATGAACTTACCTGACGGGTCCCAGCTGTCAGAGACCAGACCATCGCCAGGCAGGATTACCTGGGGACGCCGAGAATGATGAAACAGAGAAGACAATCGAACCTTTTCTCCTTTTCGATAGACAAATTCCGCATGAAACTTTAGAGATCTTTGTCACCGGAAAAGCATCACCGGGCCTCAAAGTCCATTGAAGCTTCGGCATTCTTGAATCGTGGAAAAAGGGATTGCCCAGAAGTACAGAATAATGTTAATCCGGCTATGCCCGGCTTACCAGACTATTGGGCGCCCAGACGGCAGCAGAAGTAAGCGCCAAGAGCTTATGAAAAAAGTGAGACAGGACGATGTGGAATAAATCTACGATTGGCACTTTCAGAACCACTGATTTTCATCTCTTGACATAAGGCTAAGCCATCTCGCCATAATGCGTCAAATGGGTCGCCGGGAGGTGTTTCAACTCTGCACTGATCTGTAGGGCTGCATAATGCACGTCAGAATGGGCCTCGCTAGGAGAAAAGAGAATCCGTGGCTTTGGTGAAACGATCGGCAGCAGTGACACTAGGCCGGGAGCATTTGTAACATCCTTGTCGGGCTAAAGCTGAATGAAATCGGACGGCATAATGGTCTGCAATGCTATCATGCGAGAGTCATTGAAAGCGTTAACAGGAGGTTTAGGTGGTCTACAAAATCTGACCAACTTCATGGCATTCATGAACTTCTCTCCGGCGAAGCCTCCTCAATTTGCTCAAAACTTCTCTTCCTTGCTGGGAAACTATCGTCGCTCGCGCTGCTTAAGTGTTCTCGTTTCAGTCCTTGCGAAACGTCCTCAATTTCGCTGTGAAAGCTTTCTATGCCGGCTTCCGGGAAATGGTTTGGACTCAAACCTGACGTGATGTCCTCGTTAAGCAAATGATTTGTCGTGCTTTCAAGGTAGCGCTCATCCTCGTCATCTAGAGCTAGGTGGAATCTCATCGCTTGTGAACAGTCTATGCATCCACTCTCTCAGATCTTCGTGGCAGGTCGATGAGACAAGCATGACTTGTCTACCGGCTCACTATTTCATCGCTCGGACTGTATTGAAACCCGCTGGCGGAGATCATGATCGAGAAACGACTCTGCTCGAGGACCTTGTCCCAGGGATCTTCGTGGTCCTGATACTTCGACTTGGAAACCATGTCGTAGATGACGCGCACGATTCCCGCTGGGAGATGTCCGACTCTCAATATTGCTAGCCATCTGAGCCTGATGAAAGGATTTGATGAGCGGGATACAAAGGATTACGATATGTGCCCGATAAATTGGAGAAGGACTCACTGGAGAACGTCCATCCTCACGTCTTCCAAAGCCGCAGCACTTACAGCTAGTGAAAGCTTATCCCACTCCAAATCGTTCAGCCAATTTGTATTAGAGTAGCAGCATATTTCATACTTGTCACAACAGTAGATCTTCATACTGGTGATCTTTCTTACGAGCGTCCGGATATCCCTGGAAACCTTCTCATACTGATTTGATGATATTGGGGTACACGGCGGAGTTTTGGTCGCTCGCAGAGTACATAGGGTTTCACACTCATTTCTAAGGCTGATAGGTTACGTTTTCAAACTTCGCTTACGGCTGTAGCAGAAACAGAGACCTTGCAGCTGGTTGCAAAATGGGAGAAGAACAGGTCCGAGCTTTTGACAAGTACAATTCGTAGCTCCCAAGAATCGCCGCGCTCTTGTTGGACGTTCGCGCCTTCCTGCATATCGATTCCGAAGACTGGTCGGTAGAACCTCGGTATACTGCAGGTGGCTTCAAACCCGGCAGCAACCGTCTTCTCCGCCTTCGAGTATATGTCCAAGTCGGTCACTGCTGAGGCACTTTTCAAACCAGCAAACTCCGAAAGGCATGAGAATGATGCTTAAGACCATCTTGTCAGGTCTCACCACGGGATAGACTCCTCGGGGCACGATACTTGAGATGGGGAGAATAGGAAATGTGCGGGCGAATTACTAATTCATACCCCGAAAGTACGAATCCTTACCGAATCATACCCCTAATTACTAAATCATACCCCTACATCAAATTTTATCTAAATATGAGATATGATTTAGTAATTTGCTATTGCTTAAAGTATAACTTAATAAGAATTTATATTTATTATAGTAGTTTACTTAAGTAGCCTACTTATAGATATAGCTAGATATCTATTAGAAATTATTTCTTTAGAGTCTCTACGAAGGTCTAAATAGAGGTATCTATAGTATAAAATATAGAATAATCTAAGTATTTAAGAGGGTTTTAAAAGCGTCTTTAGAAGAGTTTAAGAGTAAACTATTAATAGCGATTTCTATAAAGACTCTACGAAGGCTCTACGATGGCTTTATAAGAATAAATATTTAGATTTAAATAAGAGTATTCTAGCTATTAAGCGTAGATACTATTATTAATAATTTATAATTCTAAGAGTATCTACGCTTAATAGCTAGAATACTCTTATTTAGATTTAAATATTTACTCTTATAGAATCTTTATAAAGTCTTTATAGAGTCTTTATAAGAGTCGCTATTAATATAAATCTTATAAATCTTAAAGCGTAGAATATAATTTAGTCTTCGAGTAGTCGAAATTACTCTTACTTAACTTTTATCTAATATTTTTAAACTAATAGAATTCTTATTAAATACGATTAAAGAAAATTTCTTACTTCTATAATTAGATAAACTAGATTACGAATTATCTTCTTTATAATTTAAGATTACTTTAATAACTTATTAAATTATATCTTAAGTAATAGTAAATTACGAAATTATATCTTATATTTAAATATAATTTAATATAGAGATATAATTCGATAATTAGAGATATAATTCGATAAGAATTTATACTTTCGAGATATAATTCGATAATTTGCTCGACGTTTCGTCTTACGTTTTATTATAAAAGTAAACTAATTTCTTAATAGCTTCGAACTCTTTTTCTTAGCGACGATAGTCTAAGTAGACTTAGTCTTAAGAGCTAAAGAATATTATATAGACGAGATATTATCTTTATCTAAACGAGGCTTAAAGAATTTAGCGCTACTAACTAATAAAATTATTTTATAACGAAGTAGAACGTTAGACGACTTCCTTCGTAAGAAATTATTAAAGATATTCTTACGTTATATTAATTTAAGTTATAGAGTAGAGATCTCGATCGATATTCGCTACGTTAATATAAGTTATAAATTACTACCTCTACGACTTCTTAGCGTATTTTCACATCTCTACGTATATTCTATAACTACGATATCGACTATAATACTATTAAAGATAGAAGATTAAGAGGCTTAAAGACTTAAGCTAGAATATAGAGAAGAAAAAATAGAAGTATATTAGATAAGATAGCTAGAGAGAGAACTTAATAGTTAGAAAGATATTAGATATTAGTATTAGATATTAATATTAGAGCTAATAACGTCTATATCTAATATTAGTACTAGAAGCTTATATATTTTAAAGTTTATAAATTAGTTACTCGATATACTCTATAATATATTATAAAGTTCTCTACGAAGATATTCGATAAGATAGTTAAGAGAGAATAGTTTAGAGAGAGATATAAAGAAATAAATACTCGCTTAAAGTCTATAAATTAGTTACTCGATATACTCTATAGTAAGTTATCTCGAAAAGCTCTATTACGATAGATATACTTATATCTAAAGTACTCTTCTCGATTTCTTTATACGAGCGAGGTTTACGAGTTTAAGAAGACTTTAAAATAGAATATAGATAATTAATTTATATGAAAAGCTATAGCTATAATTCTAGAAGAAAGTAAATAAATCTTCGCTATAGAGAAAGTATTAGAATTTAATATCTTAGTCTTATTATACTTAATAATAAAAGTAGTATATAAACTTTATAGAAAAATAATAAGTCGTTATTAATTTTATTAGTATTATCTGTAAATCTAAAAAGTGAATTTCCGTATAATTTCCGTCGGGTTCGTATTATAAGTACGATTTAGTACGATTTAGTTTATTAAGTAGACTTTATCTATATTTAACTCTTTTCGTCAATTCTATTAATTTAGTAACTTTAAAATTTTTTTAATAACTTTAAAAATTTTATATAATATACTTTAATATACTTTAAGTACTATTCTATATATATATAATATTAATATATATTATTATTAATATACGTATTATTATACGTTATATTAGAGTATTATCTACGCGACTAATTTTATTAAATCGTCTAATTCTATAGTTAAATTTGAGTTAACGTTAATACTTATTATCGTAGAACCTTATCGTCGTAACGTCGATTATTAGAACTTTTCTTTTTTTATACGTATTACTATTAAATTGATAGAACTAATAGAAAAGATTAAGATAGTTACTAAATCGGCGGAATTTAAATAGATTCTAATTAGATTTACTAATTCGACGGATTTTATAATTTCCGCGATAAACGCGCGATTAGCAATTTCAAATTTTGTAGAAACTTTTCAGATTTGCAGATGACGAGAGTTTATTGACCTCGTTTATTTTTCTTTATAATTATTAACTTATCTCGTCGTAGTCTAAATTAAATTCTATCTTAGACGATAAGCTATAATAGTATTAAAAGAATCTTACGAAGCGTAATAACTCTAATTAAGATCTATTATTTTACTAACTTTAAAGCGCTTAACTTCTCTTCGATATTCTAAATAACTTACTCCGTAAAGGATTAATGAAATAGTTTCTCGACGTCGAGTTTATTAAGAGCGTACTCTTAATACTACTTAGCTCTTAGCTCTATAACTAGCGAATCTTAGCGAAGATATCTTCTATTATATTATATCTTCTTTTCATATATATAGTTCGATAGCTTTATTATTCTATTCTATCTTATTTATATTAATATTATATCTATACTAATTCTAATATTATAATAAAACTTCTTTATATTCTCTTTACTCGATAAAGAGAAATTTAAATAAATAAGATATAATTAGATTTTTTATTATATACTTAAGAATAATAGAGTAATTAAATAACTATTAAAGATCTATCTTCTTTTATTTAAATTAATAAATAAATTTAAAAAAATACGCTAATAGAGGCTTTAATAAGAAATTAAATTAAGCTATTATATTTTTAAATAAGTCTATTAAACAAATAACTCGATTTTAAAGAGTTTAATAAAATAATAAAATAATCTTATTAGAATAGTAGATAAGAAATAAATAAGATATAGAGACTATTTATATAATTAGCGAATTAATAATAGAAAGAAATTATTATAAATTTTATATATAGTAAGTTTACTATAACGATAATAAACGTTTAATCTCTTTATTAAATATATTAATAATATATTATAATAAGTCTATTATAACGACGATAAAAATAGTTTTAAAATAATATATATTAATTTCTTTATTAAGTATATTAATAATATATATAATAAGTCTATTATTAAATAGTATTTAATATATTTAATTCTTCTTAACTTTCTATATCTCTATTAAACTTTATAAATTAAAGAAAATAAAATAAAAAATAAATTTTAAATAATAAGAGTATAAGAGATATAGAGTAAATTTATAGTAAAGCTCTTAGATTAAACTATTAATAGATATTAAAAGAAATATAATATATATATATATTAAATTCTTTTTAATTCTATTAATAAATTTAATAATAAGAGTATAAAAGATATAGAGTAAATTTATAATAAAGCTCTTAGACTAGATTACTAATAAGTATTAAAAATAAAAAAATATAAAAATTTATAATAAGTAGATTAAATAAGAAAAAGAATTTAAAGAATCTTATTAATACGTAAATAAGATATAGCTATATCTCTAGAATCTCTAAAAAATAATATAAATATAGTAGATATAGTATAGTTAAGATTAGTATATAACTCGATAAAATCTTAAATTATTTAATACTTTTAATTACTATTATTACACTTCGATAAAATTCTCTTTAATCGAGATTTATATAAATTATAAATATTTAGAAATATAGAATAAATAATAGATATATATTTTTAATCTATTAGCTATAGAGGTTATAGCTATTTAAAAAAGAGAGATAATATTATAAGTATACTCTTAATATTAGTTAGCTTTTAGTCTTATAACTAGCGAGCCTTAACGAAGATATCTTCTATTATATTATATATTCTTTCTATATATATAGTTTAATAGTCTTATTATTTTATTCTATCTTATCTATATTAATATTATATCTATACTAGTTCTAATAGAGTTAGAATAAGAATACTCGAGAGTATTAATAATATTAACTAGATAGTATTAGTAATATTAACTAGATTATATAAGTAATACTTAATAAGTCGAGTTAATAAGTATAATTTCAACGTAAATAGCTAAGTTATTCGTTTACTTAAATCTAAAGTAAACTAAATCGTATAGACTTAATACTTTTACTCTTACTCTTATATCGTATATTATATTTAAGCTT